TTAAAAAAAAAAATTTAAAAGTCCAGGGAGAGGGCCAGCAGGACTTAGATCCAGGCTCCTTCATCACAGCTGACCACCTAGCATATCCGGAGCGGAATGGCCTGGGGCACAAGGTCAAAATGAACAGAGAGAGCCACTTATCTGAGCACAGAAAAGAATGTTCTAGAAAAGTGTGGGAAGTTGACTGAATTTTTTTAAAAAAATGATTTGAGAATAAGTCAGTAAAGGTCAAAATTTAGCGACACTGGGAATGAGACTAACAGTTCCTGCGAACTGTTTTACAGCCGCGCCAGGAGGCCACCACTAGAAGTAATGTGCTCCATCTGTTTTCATTTTTTTTATCACTTTGCTCATCACTGAAATTCCCATCAAGTCTCTTGAGCCATATGTCCCTTGGTTGAGAGCTGGGGGAGACGCTGGGCTCCCTAACACCCTTGTGACTTTGTTGTGTGAGGGAGAGCTAGGCCCAGCAAAAGGAAGTCAGGGTGCTGGGCCTCTCAGAAGCAGCACAGTGGGAACAGGACTAAGAAAGTCATAAAGTGGAGGTTTTACTCTAGGAACATCAGAGTGGGGAACAAATCCTGTTTTCAGTTCCCCCACAGTACTTATTTGCTTAAGGCGCTCACTGCTGAGCCTACAGGTGAGATGAGTCCCCAAGGGGCACATCCCCAGCCACAGGAAGAGGGGCAGCAGAGGAAAGGAGAGATTCCCCAACCCCAGGATGGCCTGAGACTCCTGTTATTTCTCAGATGGGTCTGTGGAACAGAGACCAAACAAGAATCCTCCACTGATGGGCCAACTTTAGAAACCCTCCTTCTCTGGCTGCTTTGCTGCCCTCCTCCCTCACTCTCGCTTCCTGGAATCCTACTCCTCCAAAGAGTGCCAGCACAAAAGGCCCTGCCTTTGCTGCTTCTTTCCAGGACCCCTGACTACAATGAAGGCAAGAGAACTGTGCGGGGGCAGACAGCGTGTACAGCAGAGCAACCGTGGTGGAGTACACTGAGCAGAAAGAATCAGACTCAAGCGAAGCCTGGAGGGAGGTCAGAGGGAGTTGAGTGAATTTCCAGGGAAAGACCATTCTGGGCGGAGAGAACAAATAGACAAGCTCCTGGGCAGGAACACACCGGTGTGTCCGGGCAACAGCAAACAATTCAGGGTAGTCACAGAAGTGAGGGGAGAGAGTACTGAAAGGTACCAGTAGATGGCTGGGCCACTTCATGGCTGGGCTCATGGACTTGGCTTTTACAGAAAGGCCAAGAGAGCAGAGCATGGCTTAGGCTAGCAGAGCAAGGCTCACTCAGCTGAATTTGCCTGAGGAAAAGGGAGCGGCCCTGCTGCACAGTTCCACTTGGGAAAACTAACTCGAGGAAGGGAAAACAAAAGCTCTTCCCAGGAAGACGTAAAAGGAAATAGGCCTCTTTGAAAGCGGAGCTAAATCAAAAGGCTGTGTGAACTGTCTTGGGAGGTCATGCTTTCCCGGTCATGAGGAGTGCTCTAAAAGAGGCTGCATGACCTGTCCCTGGAGAGTGTGGGAAGCAGTGTTCCACGCGGTCTGGTACAGGATAGTACAGGGAAGGAGCTCTGGAGTTTTCAAGCCCTAAGACAGAGCCCATGAAATCCAGAGAGAATCACAAGCAGCTGAAAGCCCGAGGAAAATCTACCCAAAATTGATCCAAGATCCACACCTCCCTGTGCCTGCGGTGTTCACAGCCCCTTACATCTGCGGTCCCCAATCTTCTTGGCACCAAAGACCAGTTTCATAGAAGACAATTTTTCTATGGATGGGAAGGGACCGATGGTTCTGGGATGATTCAAGCCCAGTGAATTTATTGAGTGTTACAGTTCACGACCGTGACAGCACAAAGGGTGAGCGATGACTCAGCTCCCAGGTCTAGTTTAACCTTCAAGAGGGCCCAGAGGGGCAGCCTTACCTAAGACCCCTCAGAGTGAGAGTGTCTCAGGAGAAAGCAACCCTGATCTGAAGCTTCTGTGGCTTTTTATTAAAAGGTCCAGGAAGCAAGGAAAAGGGACAAAAGAAAGATACATGTGCCTCAATTTATGGAGGGGCAAGGGAAGATGGGAAAGATGGGTGAGACAAGGGAAGGGCAGAATGGTCTGTTACATAACTGACTTTGTAACTATCTAAACAATAAACCAGACTATAGGGAGAAGAGGAGGAGAGCATTCATTTCTTAAGGCAGTGTGTTTTGATCCTACATGGACTTGTGGCCCCATAGGCTTTTAAACTTTAACCATGTATTTGGGGAGGCTTGGGGCTATGACCTCCACAAGTCCCTTGTCTCCACATAACCACCTCATACCTACCTCTGGCCAGTGCCCCCGCAGTGGAACACCTTACTTCTATTATTACACTGGACTCTCATAAGGAGAACATACTTCACCCCTCGCATGTGCACTTCAGGGCAGGGTGTGTACTCCTGTGAGGATCAGATGCCACCACTGGTCTCGTAGGAGATTGAGATCAGACGATGATGCAAGAAATGGGGAGCTGGGATGTAGATGAAGCTTTGCCTGCTCTCAGGCCATGCATATCCTGTATCGTGACAGGTTCCTAACAGCCCACAGGTTGGTACTGGGCCATGGTGCAGGGTGATCAGCACACAACCCCATGCCACCATCTCACAAAAACAAAACCCTCTGTCCTCTCCAACTGCTTTGATTTCAACATTTTATTTAGGATACATAAGTACAAAATCTAGGAAAAGTAAATGAAGGAGAAAGACAGAGACAGAGAGATCCCTAACAGTGTCACAAGCAGAGAGTGCCAGGGAAGTAAGGCTCTGGCTGGAGATGGCCTAGCTTGTTAATCCACTAATTCATTCAACAACTTTTTACTGAGTATGTGGAATGTATTCATTGGAGATAAATGTAATGCTTGGAGTGTATGTTGGTTGGAGCCTACATCTCACAGGGAGAGTCGCCATCGATGAGTAATTATAACAAAGTTTTAGGGTAGGAAAACCCAGTAATGGAGACTCAGGGTAGCTAAGACATTATAGCAGCAGATCTACAGGAGCAGGGGGTGGGGACAGATCAGGCACCAGAGCACAGAGTGGAAAGCAAGCAGGGAGCTGGAAGGAGAAAAGGAAAGCTGAGTTAGAGTGGTAGAGAATCCGGGTCATCGAGAGAAATCTCAAAGCTTCGTGGTTATAAAACTGGATGCAAAAGAAAGCCAGAAGGCATCACTGCAGACAGCACGGATGGACCACTTCGTGCGTGATGTAGGTGCTCAGTCCAATTTCACAGACTCTGATTCTGTCAATCAGGACAGGTGGCCGAGTACTGGCATGCTTTGAAAGCTCCCTATGATTTCTGAGGTGAAGTCAGGGCCGAGAACCAAGTAAGCGGAGCTCTCTGAGAGTCGGGGCCTGTCTACTGTCTCCAGCACTTACGTAAGTCAGTACTTGCTAGAGAACAAGAGTCAGGACCTGTAGACAGGGAAAAGAAGTGAATACTGCATGAGTGGAGTGAAGCAAGTCGCGAGTTACTAGTGTGAGGGGCCAGGAGTAAGACTGACCTTCTGGTGATCCCGTGCACCTCTCCTGACTATGCACAGGACTGGCCTGGAGCTGGACCTAAACTGAAGCTCAGTGGGGGCAACAGAAAGCAGGGAGGGGAAACAGCAGAGTGGGAGAGGGAGAGCCAACGGCTCCTGACGGGTCAGGGACAATGCAAGAAGCCTCCGATATGCATTCAAGGCTTCTAAGTCCAACTGAAGATATCCTTTAAGTGTCCCACCTTTAAGGAAGTGACACTCTTCTCCTTACCCCTACAAATGGTGACTCTCTAGAAAAGTCATGGGGGAAGGAGGAGAGGGAGTCAGATCGTTAACAGAAGTGGAGTGAATGGGAACCCTCAAAATCCAAGGTGCGGTCCCACCATCTGCTTTCTTTTCCTCCCTCCTTCCACACACCCACTGTCACTCCAGACCACATAATGTTCCATCATAGACCCATGTGAGCTTCTCTATGGGCTCTCTCTTCCAGTCCTTAAGCTGAGGATATTCCATCTTTGTGGACCCTGTGGATAACTAGTCTCTGTCAGGAGGGCCATGGATGCCTGATGTGGGAAATCTCAAAGGACCATTTCAGCAAAACCTTGGGAGGCTGGGCCCTCGCCCCTGTCTGTGCTCTGACCACCATCACTGCTGAGAATCTGAACTCTGCGTGATAGTGGGGAGCTGTTATATGTAGTTCTCTAGTGCTTTGCTTTTAAAACACTACCGTCTACCCTTGCCCAACAGTGCGCGCTGCGTGCCGGTTCACACGTGCTGAGTGGAAAGGCTTGCTGTCACCCCACCACCACCTTGCAGCCAGAACAACTCCAGGATCCTCCTGAGGCAGGAGAAGCTGGAAAACAGAAGCAAGAGACCTCACAGACCCACTGAGAGGAGCGCCTAGAGCCTTCGCACCTCTCTCTTCGAGAAAAGTCTCTGCTGTGGGCCTGAGGCAGAGGCAGGTGAGGCTGGAATGCTGGGCCAGGGGTGACTTTAAGGCTTCAGCTAGAGGATGGAAGATGAGGAAGAGCAAGGGCAGGAAAGTAAGGTTCAGGCAGAGCTACTGCAAAGCCTTTTGCTATCACCTAGTCTTGTAATTTCCAAACTGTTTTAAAGTAGTTAAACCTTTCTTCAGACAAAATCTTCTATGGAACCCATCCACGGGGAGCAAGAGGAAGAGGTAGCATTTGGGGACAGGCTCTATCTTGGACCAAGAGGGAAACCCCCACACCCAGTCTACCTTTCAAACCCAAACTCCCTCAGAAGCCTAGGTAGGACTTTGGAGTCTGGGGTTCCCCTTTTAAAAGCAATGGTCCAGTCAAGAATCTTAACTTTATAAGTGGAAAACTCTGCCAAAGGTCCAGAGTCCTCACTGAGTGTGCAACCGGCGTCAAGGTCCAAGCTTGACCCCACTGCCAACTCTGGTCTTGTCTCCCCGCCTCCCGGGGACTGACTGCCCTCCCCTCACCAGCCTCGTTCCCACCCCCACCCCAAAGGAATCTCAGACAGAGCTGCGGAAGGAGAACTGCAGGTAGATGATCAGCAGCAGGACCGTGGCCCAGAACAAGCACCAAGGGATGGAACAGAAGTTGCAGCCTGAGCCCTCCTCCGCCTGCGGCTTAGTCGGGCTGGGCGCGCGGGAGAAGGTGTAGGTGGTCGCCTCCTGCTCCAGCAGCTTCTCGCTCGGCTTCCAGTGCACGATGCCCTCCTGGCAGGCCTCGCAGAACTCGCCCCGGTGTCGCCGGGTGTCCTGGCGGCTGGCCACGTGGATGCGGTACTGGCCACCACGCTCCCCGTAGCACTGCTCACGCAGGCTGCTGATGAGATTGTCCACCAGGCTCTCGATGTTCTCCTCCAGCATGCTCGATTCATCCAGCCGCGCCGTGCCGCACTCGTAGCAGAGCTGCTTGAAGACGCGCATGCGCACAGAGCCTGCGTGCTGGGCTCGGTCCAGGTAGAAGTGGAAGAGGATGACCACGTGCGGCGACTGCCAGGTGTGCCAGCACCAGGAGCAGTGGAACCTGCAGGTTGAGGAAGGCAAAGGAAGAGGAGCACGTGGGGTTGGTAGAAACAGTCCAGAAAGGGGTCCCTGGCGTGTGGCACCCAGACAGCCCCCGGAGGTGGGGTGCCGTGTTGACAGCTCCCAGTTCATTAGCTTCGCCTGAGAGGCCGCCCAGTGTGCCCGCAGTGAGTGTCCCGGGACTGGAGCAGAATAGGCTCCTGGAGGTGCCCCAGGGTGCCCCAGCACTTCAGCATGCCCCCGCAGATCCTGAAGTGCTTCGCTGCCTGAGAGCTTTCCAGAGACCGCACCTCCCCCAGTGCCCTGTGCTCAGGTTTCAGGCCGAGGCCTTGCTCCCCAAGGAATGCAGAGCATTCCTGCAGCAGGGATTTCTTCCTACCCGGGCTGAGCGCCTGCAGGCAGGGATGGCCCTTGCCAGACAGGAAACGCACAAGGTGTCTGCACCTCCCTAGCTGTCTACACTGACCGTGCGTAGGCCAAGACTCAGCCAGGAGAAAGCGACCCACCTGCCAGTCTCCAGGCCAGGACCAAAGTGAATGGTAGAGGTTGCCAGTGCCCACAGTGACCCCTGCTACCGAGCTGTAGTTTTCCAGGCTAATGGGAGACAGGTACCAGCAAGCTCTGGGGGAGCCACCAGCCCTCCCCAATCCACTCCCTAAGCCTTTCCAGGCCCTCAAAAAAGTGGCCCACCTCCCAAAGGTCAAGTTCGGAACTCAAGTCTTCATTTTTCAATTGTTTACTTAGGTTCCTTGGAGAGTGTTTCACCCTCTCATACCAGATTGACCAAATGTGGATTTCAAAATGTGAGCTTAGAAGTCACTGAACTAATCCTTTTTTTACCTCTGAGACTCAAAACATAAGAAAGCTATCTGTGCACTCGGCTGGTGAGAGGCAGAGCTAGTGCCCGGGTGCATAATGGATGCCTGGTAATGTTTCCTGCATTGGATTCAATTGGATTGAATTACAGGGAACTAAACTGACTGAACCAAGATAAGCAGGAGGCCTTTGCTTCCGATCCGAGGTGGCACCACTTGGCCTCCGCCATGCATGCCCCAGAGCTAAGTCACAGTGCCACAGACCCGGGAAGAAGAGTGCTAGAAAGTTGTCTTGCATATTGTGTATATAAAGGACCAAGAGACCTTCTTAAAATGTAGATTCTGATTTAGACCTAGAATACAGCCCAAGACTCTCATTTCCATTAAATTCTAGGTGGCGGCAAGGAGGCTATTGCTCACTGTACCATAGCACAAGCGTCTAGACCAGAGGCAATGAGCCTGGGCCATGCGTGTCACCTCAAGCTTTTGCATCATCGAAAGCTCTAAGAAGTTCATCATCACTGATCTAAACTAATCCTTCATTTTGCAAATGGGCAAATGGAGGTCCAATAAAAACTCTTAATTGCTCCAGATCCACAGAGCTAATGGTAGAGCCACTCTGTAACATAACTCATATAGTCAGTATTTTACATCAAATCAACTTGAGTTAAATAGATATATAAACTGAACTGCTCATAGACCAAAGAACAGATCTAATGACCCCCAGTGGACCTCAGGCTCACCACTTCTGTTTTCAGCTATTTGGGGAAGATTATTAAGATCAAAATATCAGAGTTAAAAAATAATATGTTCTACCTCCTTTGTCTCTGGATGGGAAAATTATGAGAAGAAAAGTTATACAGGTAATCTAGGGAAGAGCTGGGGAAGGCATCCTTCGTCCGTTCCTGGTAGGGGCTCTCTGCTTCCCAGTCCATGCGAGCCTCCCAGTGCGGTTGAAGTTGAGCACTTGGGTTCAGAGTGCTCTCTTCTGTCCCTAGGAAGTATCCAGGATTGGAGACCCAGAGAGACCCTGTTTCTTGGCCTACTCACCTGCCTGAGGCATGCAACTCCAAGTACTGCTTCCAGCCAGGGGCCAGCACATTGTGCTTGAGGTTGGGATCTATGATGAAGTCCCAGCTGTCGGCTGGCTTTGCTTCCTCCATCTTCTCATAGAAGACTTTCTTCCACTCACCAGTGGTCACACTTTTGCACATCTCCTCGTCGGTGCTGAAAGTGGGCAAGCTCCACTTAAGTGAGAACGTGGGGAATGAGGGAAGGTGCAGGGCAGGGCAGCGCAGTCTCCACGGTCTAAAAATCCTCATCGACAGGACCAAGAGGAAGCAGGACCCAGCTCCCTCCTTTGTCCGCAGTGGAACCTGTTTCCAAGGCAACGAGGCAAGCCGCCAGGAGACAGAGCTTGGAGAGAAGTGAGTCTCCAAGGGGTGCTTCAGGGCCCTGAACCAAGGCTGCAGTTACACAGTGTGTGGGTCTCAGTGATCGGAGACAGAACTGGCGGGCTTGACAGGAGGCTTGCTTTAGACCACCTCTCCCTGGCCTTGAAAGGGCATGGAGAAGTGAGGACCTGAGAGCTGGCTCAATTTCGCCTTGCTACCCTCTAGGGGCCTCATCAGCATCTGGGTGCTATGGTAACCATGATGCCTCTGGGAGCCAAGGAGAAATAAGGGAGGGGAAGATGCAGGCTTGTTGGCAGATAGAGCAATAACAATAAACTCTTGCTCTGCCCTCCCACCTACCTTGTAACTGAGACCTTGCCATTTTGAAAACATATTTGTGGCCTCTTAAGCCAGAATGATTATTGTCACTATACAGGGCAGGGCCACAAGCTCACCTAGCGTATGAATGACAGAGCTCCTACCCACATCCAAGTGGCTCATCCCACTCAGGTTTATTTATTTACTTATTTCAAGCTCATATAGTAGGCTGTATGCCGGGGTAGAGCTGCAGAGATCCGTGCTGTAAGGGACATGGACATGCACACAAAGGTAAAACCCACCACCTCAGCCAGGCAGGAGAGGATGAGATGATTTCTAAGTTGATTATAGGAGCAGAGAAAACCATGAATCAAACTGTTTCACTACAGAGACCCACTAGTTTTGATAAATTACTTATTCTTTAAAAATTTATGTGGGCTTACTATAGAAAAAAATGAAAATATAGATAAAATAAAGCTAAGACTTTCATAATACTCCTACTCAAGATGACTACTATTAATACTATGATATAGACACCCTGTCTGCCACTTTTCTATACATATATGCATTCTATATACATATTCAATATAATTATTTGTAACATTGTGGCATATTTTAAGTAATAATATATCATAAATATTTTTCTAGATCATTAATTTTATTCCATAGTATCTTACAGGGCTACACACATGCTGTTATACAGATATGCATAATTAATTTAACCAATCCTGTATTTGGGGGCATTAATGTTTCATTTTAAGTTCTCATGATTGGACCCTTGAGAAAGCCCTGTCTAAAGCTTATTGATGGAGTTTATGAAGCCGCATGCCGAGCAGTGGAGACGTCACTTCTTGCAGTCAGAAAATCCATCTCCTGGCCCCACCCTACAAACTTGGTGTGGCTAGCAGGATCTTCCAAGATCTTTGAGTAGTGTGAAGAATGGACAGTCTGCAGATCTGTGATCTGTAGTCTCAGGTTTGGGAATGAAGAAGAAAAGCCTAAAATCCAGTCTCCTGTCTGATTCCAGAGCCTGTCCTCCAAGCAGGCCTCCTGCCTCCATAAGGATGCCTGATGCCTTGGTTTACACCGCTTTACCCCCAAGCAATTTATCATGGCGATAGGATACTAAAGAAGCAATGTTTGTAGTAATTAAATGTATGGGCTCTGGAATCCCTCGCATGTGTGTTTCCGGTTTGTTTTGTTTCTAACTCCCTTATATCCTCATAGGTAACCATTCTGATTCAACATCTTTTCATTCTGGTGATTCATGTATGAATTTTTAATTTGCATAACAAGAATAGCACTTATGGGCTACATAGGCATTGCCCTGAGTGCTTTGTATGCTTTAATTTATTTCATCTGAATAGCAACCTTTATAGGTAAGAAATAACAATAGCAGCTCCGTTCTGCAAATATATAAACTAAAGCAGAGCTGTTAGAAAACTTGGCCAAGGTTAAACAACTAATAATTGCTTGATCGAGGCCTTGATCCTCCACCTCCAGACCCTCAGCTTTGGCCATTATGTTGTCTAGCGCAGAATCTAGAAGAGGATGTTTGCTAATTAATTGGGTATTCCTCCTCTCATCACTAGATATGGCCACTCCAGCCTCCAAGAACTGTAGACCAGGCATCCCCATCCTTTTGGCAAACAGCTCTCTTGGCCACACGCATCTTCTCCTCCTTGAAAGTGGAGAGCATCATACTTGACCTTTCAGGCTTGCTGTGACCGTGCTGGATGCTACCTCCACTGATAAGTGCAGTGAAGCAGGAGCATCTGCAGACCCCTGGTGCCCCATGCAAACATTTTCCAGCTAAGAGAGAGGATTAGCTTGCAATCTTACCAAAGAGAAAGCTGTCTCTGGAGGTGTGCATGAACCCTGTGAAAGTGTAATCATTTGATTTCATGAAAGAGCCCTGAGCTGGGGTCAGCTGACACAAATGTACATCCCAGCTTGGCCACTGAGCTTTCTCACCATGGGTGGGTCACATCTGTATAGAATCAGAGTGGCCAACAACCCTAAGCTCCTCTGGAATGGAGACATCCGTGGCTTCAAAGACTTTTGTACTTCAAACCTGAATTCTTGGAAGGAAGGAGGTAAGACAAGATCCACAGAAGGAAGAAGGAGCACTTCTCGGGAGACATGGTAGGCAGTGACTGACACGCAGCTCCAAGTCCTTGGAGCCAGCTTCATGGTTAGGGCTTTGGTGAGATATCACTACCCTAGATTTGTGCTGGAAGCAGGAAGAATGGAGATTAAATTTAGGACCACTGAATGTAAATGTTGGGGAAAATGTCTAAATGCTTTGAAATACTTTCTTAGGCTTCTCATCCTTCGTGCAGGTGTTCTTGTCTCTGAATTAAGGAGTCAATCCTGAAATAAGTAAGCTGACTTAAGCAAACTTCTAAGTGTGATGGAAACTCTCTCAGGTGGCAGCCACTGATCAGGGCAAGGGTGGAGGCTGGGAACGTGCCCCCCAAAATGTGTGCACTGGATGGAGCTTATTTTCAAAGGTGTTACTTGATACCAAAATGCACTCTCTAGAAGTATTTGGCAGCTGTCGCTACCATAAACACTATGATGAAAATCAAGAAGACAGAAAGTAGAATAACCAGAGCTGTGTGTGTGTGCGTGCGTGTGTGTGTGTGCGTGTGTGTGTGTGTGTGTGTACGTGTGCATGTATATGTGCGTTTAGCCAGCTGATGCAATCCCCATTGGCACAAATTAAGTTTAGTTTAGTACCTGGGCTCACTGTACAAAGGCCAATGCAATACATCCCTCTGTACAGCTGTGTTTATTTTCTAATAAAAATATTTCTTCCAATGCAAAAACTAAAATAAAAACCTTGTGTCATTGCAACCTGCTGTCCATTGGGTGAGCTGTGGTGCCACAGAATCCACAGTTCAGAGACTGCTAAATCTAGACCACCCCAAAGCTCTTGGCTTCAACCAACCCAATTGCTTAAAGTTTGTGGTCCTGTTTCAAAATGCATAAAATGGTTTAGAACGAAAACACCAAGCAGAAAATAGTGATTCAAAGGAAAGAAAACCGTATGTGCCATTCTTCCTTCAACTCAATAAGAAACATCTTGGGAAAGTAGTATTCTATATCAAACTTTTAGAAAATGCACATTGTCACTTTTGAATGATGCATGAACGCATAGTGGTTCTCAGCTAGAGACAGTTGTTCCCAGCACTCAATAGTATTTGGAGAGGTGGAGGGGTGTGTTTTGGTGCTGGACAAATGAATAGAAGTTTCTACTGGTACTCAGTGGCCAGGGACCAAGGATCTAACTGTGCCTGTCAGGCCAACAGCAAAGAGCCTTCCATCCCATAATTTCCCACCCATGCCCAGAATAATGATCTTCTCAGTGATCTGTGGATTGGAAATGCCCAGGCAGGACCCTCAGCTCTGGGTTCAATGGGACCAAGATTTTCTTCCTCATTGGAAACATATTTAACTTGGGAATGAAGATCTCTAAACTAGCTAAGAGCAAAATTTTGGGAACAGGAAGAAAACATTCACTAATACGCCACTAGGGATCATTTAAAGAGTGCCCTTCCCTCTTCTACCCCTTAATCCTTGGAACTGCAATAAAATAACATGATATCTTTGATGATATCTTGGAATATATACCACATCCTGGAGGACATTATCTCAATTTTGCAACAGTCTTTCACCCAACTGTGTCTTCAATTGAGTTAGACTTTGACACAATTTGTCAGGCAGAGTTCTAAGCTATTGCCGAACATCCTGGTTTAGAAGGCTAATGAAGGCCATGCTTAAGAAAAATTGTCTAAACCTCAAAAGCTGATTCCTCTAATTTCAGAACATTTCATCTAGAGTGAAATATATCTTCCTTCTCTTTTATCTAAAGAAGTAACAAGGCCCAGCCATGTGACATGTGGAGAAGCAGCAACTTTCCTCACTAAATTATTCAAAACTGCTGCTGGACCTCTCAGCCACCATGTGCCAGGCCCTGTGCCATAAAGAGGAATGTGTCTCACTCATTCTGCATCCGGTGAACACCCATCATCTGGCTTTTCTCCGCAATCCAGAGCCTTTTGTGACCTACATCATGAAGGCTGACCCTTAAACGTACTCCAGTAGCCTGCCTGCAAGGACCTCTGATGTAGGCCTCCAACAAACAAGGATGCCAAAGGATGTGATTCTTAAGGGGGCTTAAAAAGACATGGTGATATTCAGTTCAAATGACTTGGGTTTCCGGGAATGTCTAGGAAGGAATGAAAGTATTGCGCATGTGCAGAACATTGTATTGTGATGGAATGTCCGGCGCATGAAGTTCAGAGAACAGGAGTATTGATCCTTAGCTTTTCCACCAAGTCTCCCATCAGCCTGTTGAAAGTCAACCTTGGATGTCCACCTAGCACCTCCTTGTTTTCTTCTGTCCCCTTTTTGCTGCCTTTTCTTTAATTTTTTTTTTTTTCTGTTCTTCAACATCTACTTCAGGGTCCTCCTTCAAAAGGAGCATCTACCAGCAAATGAACCCTCCTCCGCACATGCTGCCTTGCACTGTATAACTGTGATACAGTATTACATCAAAAAAGTGTCTATGGCTTCATTCTATTATGTCCAAAACCTACTCTGCAGGGTAAAGAGAAGGAAAAAAAATGGT